TAAAGTTTTATTTCATTTATGTGCCAGCCACAATGTTCAGTGTTGAGAACAGAAAAATCTATTTAGTACATGATAATAAGCCTTCTTTTTTATTCGTATATATTTGCAGTACATTTTTTACAAGGAGTTGGTACATGTACATGATACATATTCATTCTTTTTTTATCCCCTCTCCTCCCACTCCCTCCAACTCTTGGTCCTTCCCCCATTTGCAAAAGCTCTATTTTCATTATTTTTCTTTTTAATGTTTTTCCTACCTTTTCCTTCCCTCTCCCTCCGTCTCTTGTTTCCTCATCCATTTGAAAAAGATTTTCCTATTTCCTAGTTATCTATCTTGTTTTGCACACTCTCATTATAAAAATATTTATATACATATATATAGTAAGCCTTCTTTAATGCCACTTTTAGAGAGATCTCTGATATTTACCATTTTTACAAGGTATGCATTTAAGAGAGAAGCAGAGATATTCACAGTTTACATTTGTGCTTTTCTTATTTGTATAACTTGGAGTGGAATTGATATTTTTAACTTTTTATTTCAATTTAAATAAAAATTTTCTGGAGTGTACATGTAATCCCAGATACGCAAGTCTGAGGCAGGAAGATTACAAGTTTAAGGCCAGCCTGGGCAACTCAACATGACCTTGTCTCAAAAATAAAATAAGATAAAATTAAAAAATTAAGTGAAAAGTGCTGGAGATGTGGCTCAGTAGTTTCTGGGTTCAATCCTCAGTGCAACAAGAAGAAAAAAGAGAATTTTATATTTTGGATTTAGAGAAGAATTGCAGAGATATTTTATATGCCTGTCAGCTTAGCTTTCTCTCCTAATATCTTATATAATCATGGTATAAGGATCAAAACTAAGAGATTAACACTGAAAATATCCTGAACAAAACCACAGACTATTAGGACTTCACTATGTTTTTCATGTGTCCTCTGTTCCGGGATCTGGTCCAGGACAACACATTCAATTTAGTTATGATTCGTCGTCTCCTCTGGTTGTGATAGTTGCCTTAGTCTTTTCTTCTTTTTCACATCCTTGAAGCCTTTGAAGAGTTCTGGTGTCGTATTTTGTAGAATGCTCCTGAATTTAGGTTTATCTGATGTTTTTCAGGACTTTATGAGTTTCTAGATGAATTTCCACCATGATTAGGTGTTTTCTCAGCACATGATACAGGGATATGTGTTAGTTATGTGGCTTATAACCAGTGCCGTTAACCTTGACCCCTTAGGCTGTTGTCTGCTAGTTTTCTCCCCTGTGAAGTTAACTATTTTCCCTTTATAATTAATAAATATTCGGGATGAAATACATTGAAGTTAAGTATCATTTCTCCCCCTAAACTTTTGCCCACTAATTTTAGCTTTCATCAGTAGATCTTGTTTGCAGTAATTACTGTAGCATTGTATTTCTCTCATTCTTTCAACAGCTATTAGTTTGAGTTCCTCTGTGAAGAACAATCATTCCTTCTCTGAAGCAAACAGTTTGAATCTTTATCCAGGTAGAAGCAGCGAGTTCATCACCATGACGGAGTTCTTATACTGCATGACGTGAGGCAGAAGTGAGTGGAGTAGGTTCAATTTATTTACTTAACAAATTATTTATTTAAAAACTATGTGTTAGTAACTGTTTGAAACACTTGGGGTAAAATAAGGACTAGTCTCTGCTCTAAAGCTGATAGTCCAGTGTGAGATGTCACTTATGTTTCTGCATTGAAGAGTATGTAGAGTCCTCTGAATGATAGCATATTTCCCCATAAAAGCCTCAGGTAGGACCAAATAAAAATTCTCTCTCTCTCTCTCTCTCTCTCTCTCTCTCTCTCTCTCTGTTCAGTGAGGACAGACTGAACTTTTCCCCAATCCGTGTCTATCTTTCCCCTCTTCTAACTAGAGGTCTTCACAGCTTAACCTTTTCCTTCCAAATTTCACACTAATTTTTCTGGTTGGCCCACTGTAACATAGAACCATACAGAGAAAGGAATTCTGGGACAGTGACTCTGATTTAGTTAAATTCACAAATTTCAAAACTACCACAGATTATTTTGACCATGTTTCTTGACTGAAATATCTTTATTTGGCTGCCCAACTTCTCAGGCTTTCCTTTAGGTGAATTTCTAAGTTTTAAATGTGTGGTACTCAGTCACTTTTGCCTCTTACTATACAAACTCTTCACTAGTTTCATCCACTTTTATTGTTTCAAGTACCATGTGATATAGGCTAATGAGTTTCAATCCCATTTTTAGCCTAGATATTGCTTTAAAATTTCAAGGGAAATATTCAGCTGCCTACTGGGCATCTCCATTTGCCTTTCCATAGGCACTTAATTTGTAATATGTCCCCACTGAACTCATTACCAGTCCTTCAAACTTGCTCTTCCTCTTCTAATCCCAGTGAAGACTTCCAAGCAGTTTCTCTGGGTTAAGTGTTCTCATCGATCCATTCCCTGCATAATTCTGGAGTTCTTGCATTAAAATATAATTTCACTGCATAATTCTGGAGTTCTTTCACTTAAGATATTTTTTTCTGGTACAAGTTTTTGTATTAAGATTCTTTTATTTGCAAAAAAAAATTATCTTGCAGTTGGTGATGCAACTCACTAGTATATGCAAGGCCCTGGGTTCAATTCTTGACATCACAGGGCACATGCACACATAGCACATATAGAAAAGAGTTGCTGTAATCAGAGTAGTGATAACATTTACTGGATCTGTAGCAGTGCCTGGAACATCATAAGCACTTTATAGTAAAAGGGAATGAGCAAAATTGGATGGATGGGTGATATTATCTCTTGTCTTACAGATAGGTGAAAGAATTTCACTTTGTCAGCAGACTAATCAGTGGTGGAATAGGGACCCAGACTTCAAAGGCACAATATGAAAATACAAGCATAATTTAAAACTGTCTTAATCAAGGATGTCAAAGTTTGTGCTACAGGAACAAGTTAAACTCTAAATCTCAGAGATTCAGCTTCAAAAAAAAAGCTTGTTTTTTATTTACAAAGATTCTAGTACTGGTTGGGCAACTGTTAAAGACAGCTACGGTCTCCTTTTGTTATCAGTGGTAATTATATTCTATAAAGTTGCTGCAAAACTGAAGACATTCTGAGCCATTGCTCCTAGGGGAAATATAGGGTTTCATTCTTGAGAGCCTCTTAGTTTTATCGAATTATCATATATAACTTTGTTTTGTGTCTTTCTGTTTAAAGACAGCTTATTTAATGTACAGGCTATTTGGGTTCTGTGACACTGCCATTTCAACATGCAGTTTCCAGTTGCCTTGGCAGGGAAGAGATTGTCAGAGGGGAATTTGCTGGCTCTTAAATTCTTTGGTCAATTACAGCCCACTGGACAGAACTGAGCACCTGAGCTCACCTAAATGTAAGGGATCTACCTAGGTATCTAGTAAGCAATAAATAGTTACAGAAGAAAAAACTAACAAAGAGAAAAATAATTATATATAATTATACATTACAAAATGTAAAGGGAGGTGTTTGTTCTTGTCAGGCAGAGAGTGTCCTGTGGGGAATGGGGATGTTGCAGAGTTGTCAGTTCCTTTCATTTCTCAGGTATAACTGTTCCAATTGCCAGATCAGAGAATTTCAGTGATCCCATCAATATCACTCATGCCATGCAAGCAAGACACATGATTACTTTTTTGTATATAAATATAATATTAAGAGATTTCCAGAGTTCCATTTTTTTCCTTTTCTCCTAATATTTATTCCTTTCCCTTCTTTCCTTTCCCCTACCCTTCCCACTTCCCTTTCCCCTTTGAACCATTTCTTCCTATTTCACATTACCTCTTACGCATTTTGATCCTTATTTACACTTTCAGCTTCTCACACCAGAGCAAGTATTCCGTATTTACACGTGTATCCTATTTATTTCACTTAAGAGTATGGTTTCAATTCTATGACCCAGGAAAAGTGATACACAGCACATACTAAGTGATCAACACATATTAATAAAATAGATGAATACATAATGAGAAGCAGATCTGAGAGCAAGGAATGATGTAGTTTTGAAAATGTTCTGTTTCATTCAGATCATTTAATTTTAGATGTCTTCTAGGTAGCAGGTACTTGAGAGAGGCTTGGGGTAGGGGTGCAGATATGTGAGCCTAGAAGTTGAGTTATGACTATGATAATGGTTAGATTGCTCCTATAGAGTGGGCATGGTGAGGGAAGAATCCTTAGGAACATCATCTTTAGTGATGCTCTGAGAAATAAGAGAAAATTTAGGTAAGAGAATGTCAAGAAAACAGCAGTATTGGAGATCACTAAGGAGAGAGTATTGACATTGTCAAATGCTAATTAGGAGCAGATAATACAAGTTTGAATTGTGTTCATTTATCTGAGAATTGTCTTAGTCTTCTTTTTGTGTTGCTATAACAAAACAGCAGAGACTGGGTAATCTATAAAGAAACAAGTTTATTTTAGCACATGGTTCTAGAGACTGGAAATTCCAAGAGCATGGTGCTGGCAAGGGCCTTATGTTGGTTAAATTCACGGCAGAAAGGGAACAGAAGAAAAGAATACGTAGGGAAGCCTCCCTTTATAACCACCTGCTCCAGCAAAACGAACCAGCTCCCTTGAGAAAGGCATTAATCCCTCTTAACAGTTTAATCCCCCCTTACAGACTCCAGGTGCCAACACTGCCATGATGGATCAAATTTCCACCTGAGTTTCATAGGACACAAACCATCTGCAAACCATACCAGCAACCAAGAGAACAGGGTGACCTCAGTAAGAGCAGTTTAATAATAAGAGACAACAAGTATCAACTGATCTTTCTAGAGGATCATTGGTCCTTAATGGACCTGAATGGAAGAAAGAGATGAAGTGATAAATAAAAAGCACATAGGGCCAGTGGAACTGTGGGATATTTTTTAAATAAAAGGCAACCTTAATGCCCCCCCACACACACACATAACGGCACATGACATCTAATGGAAACTTGACAATTAAACTGAACATTTTCACTTACTAGCTGTGAGATCTTGGATGAATTAAAAAAAAAACCCTTCCTATGCTTCATTTTTCTCATTGATTAAATGGAGATAGTAATGGTTCCTGCATATGGTTGTGAGAAGTAAATAAAATGTATATAAAATCTTTAGAACAGTGCCAAATATGCAGACCAATAAAGGCTAGCTTGTGAAATAGTTGCTAAGAAGGAAGAGCATGTAGAAAGGCAGAGTGAAATGCAGAGGAAGAAAAAGGGCTATTTTGTGAAGGAAGGTCCCTGAGAAAGTTGAAGGTCAAGAAATCTAGATCAAAGTGTGGGGGAATTCACCTTAGAAAGGTGAATCAAGATGAGAGGGAGAAGGAAAAGAGTTCAGATGCTAATTATTTTGTGGACTAGAGGGAACCACAGGGATAGAGGTTCCACCTCACAGATGAACTCTGTTTTTTCTCTGAAATAAGATCAGAGGTTCAACCACTGCAGGTTAAGGAAAGGGTTAGAATGAAGGAGGTTACTTCAAAGAGTGGCACAGACTCAAAATAGCAGTTGTGGGCAATAGTCAAGGGAACTGTACAGAGACAGATCAAAGGATTGTCAGCCAAGATCATGAAGACAGTTTGAGATGAGGAGCAATAATTTGTGATAGTAACAATCCCATGCTATTGTGGACTTTCTCTAGCTGCCACTAAGCAGCTTGCATTTCAAGCTGGAAAAGGCAGATGACGAATTGGTCAGTGGTCAGGATTTTCTAGGTCACTGTAGAAAATAGACAAAGAAAGCAAGGAAGCTAAGGGCACTAGCAAAAATGTATCAAGCCATGAATCCTGAGTACAGTCAGAAGAAACATTGAAGTTGTGAAAGGGGTGATGCTTAGCTGCTCTGAAGCCCGAAGAACATGTGTGGTAGAACAAGGGGACAAACTATTTGAAAGAACTCGTGCTTGTGTTTAAGGAAAGATTTTCTAAGGTTAGTGAGAAATTACTCCTGCTGTTCCTGATGCTCCCTCTTTTCCAAGGTTATGTCAAGCTTCAAGAGTACCTTTTACTCAGTGCCAAAGTTTCTAGTGACTCTTCTGTACATTGATCATTGTACACACTGGTTAACAGGCAAAACACCTATATGCCAGCTTTCATTGTGCACCTTTCTCCTGGTTCCGCACCAGCAAACTGGTTACCCTTGATCTAAAACCAAGCCTAGCTGCCATTGATTTCAATAGTCAGTCATATTTTCAGAGCTCTGGCAAGGAGCAGTGCATAGATGCCCTCTATTCTTGTGGCCTACAAAATTCTCCTGTGTACCCAGGCTCATGATATCTTCAGGGATCTCTTTTCATTTTGGGTTGTCTATTTCCTTTCAAACCATATTCTGTCAATAGGCTGAACCCCGAGAGAACAAGCCAGGAAATCAGTCACATACCTTACAGAAGCAAGGAATCAGGTAAGCTAGGGAAGAAAAAGGGGATAAATAAGTATTAGCTTTCATCAAAAGAAAATATTCTTACATAATATCTTAAGGAATATGCTTGGTTTCTATGCTACACAGTAGTGCCTCAGTACTTGTTCGTAATTGGATCTAGCAGGTGCAATAAGTACCAAAAATGACAAGTACTAGACAAATTATTTTGGTTGGAGAGGACAGGAAGTCATGAAGTGATCGGCACCGACAAGTTCTACCTTGTTCATCAAGTACCAAATGAATGACAAGTACCAGGATAAAATTTTTATGTCAAAATATGTCAAGTACCAAATTTCACAAGTTTCAAAGCATTCAAGTATGGAGGTATGAATCTACTGTATGAGAACAAGGATATATGTATTGACATAAGAAAAGGAAAAAGTTTCACTAATTGGTAGAGAAGACAGAATCATTTTTATGTAAAACACAAGACCTTTCAACATGGCAAGAATGGAAGTCATTGTGCTAGGGTCAATGGTGTTAATCAGCTTTTTGTCCCTGTGACAAAATACCTAAAGGTTATGGGTTATACTTAAAATCTCCCCGAACTCTCATGCGTTCAGAAGTGGGGTTCTTGGAAGATGATTGATCATGGGGAAGCTATACTCACCCATGGATTAATTAATGAGCTCATAGCCAAATGTGCTATTAGGAGGTAGGGGCCAGTTGGAGGAGGTGAGTCCCTGAAAGCATACCTCCTTGGAGGAACTTCTGCTTTTTCTGTTTCCTAGCTGCCGTAGGTTGAGCAACTTTCTTCCACTAGGCTCTTCTGCCATGCATTTCTGCCTTGGAGCCAGCCAACCAGGCACTGCACTCTCTGGAACTATGAATCAAGACAAATCTCTCCCCCTTAAGTCTTGAGTGTCAGGTATTTCATCCCTGTGACAAAAAAAAAGCTGACTAATACACTGAGAAAGACAACCTGAAGGAGAAAAGGTATATTTTGGCTCACAGTTTCAGAAATTCAGTCCATGGGCAACTGGCTCCATTGTCATGAGCCTGTGGTAAGGCAGAACATAATGGCACAGAAAGTGTGGTAGAGTAGAGCTGCTCGGCTCTAGGCAGCTAAGAAGCAAATGAGAAACAGCCAGGGAAGAAGGGACTGAGGACATGATACAGTTCTCAGGGTCATATCCCTGTGAGCCACACCATGACCCACAGTCCCCAAGTATGCTCACATCCTCATAGCCCATTCAGTTATGAACCTTGACAACTTAATCATTTCCCTAAAGGCCATCAGCTGGCCTTTGGGGGACATTTTAGATCCAAATCATAACAAGTATCAATGTTCTTTTCATTCTGTTTCTTAATTCTAGAAGGGAAAATCCTATAGATTGCAATGTTTTCCTGGGAATTAAAAAAAAATTGTATGTTAATAGGGGTTAAACAAGCTTGGAAGAAGATTTTGTATTTCAAATTCTATTACAAGACCCTCTCTATAGATTTACTCTTTTTAAATTTTGCTGGAATTTTGATAGTATTTAGTTCTTATTGCTTGCTACAAACCGATAATTTGATGGACCACAATGGTGTTTATTATTCAAAGATTTGTGCAATAATGTCATACCATCTCAAATAAAGCAGCAGGTGGTCTCAGAAAGGACCCCTTATATACATTTTACAGGGGTTTTTTTATCATTCATCCAAAGAATCTCAGTGGCATTCTAGAAGTTAAAGCCTCCCAGGAAACCAAATAAAGCTTTTATGCAGCAGTCCAAACCAGGCATTACAAACAATGGACATGATAGCAATGATCTGAAATTATTCTTTAATCTGATTCTCCACCTAGAAGCCCAAAATTCTGCCCCTTTCACACTCAATTCTTCTCTTCCCCGGGACACAAACAATCACAGGCATTCTCTGACAAGACCTAGCAATACCTCATCAGTTCTTCCTAGTCACTAAGTCCACATTTTGATAGAGCTGGAGTAGCTTGAGGAGTTTTATCTAGATGTAAATCTTATCATCAAGGTTAAATTCAAAATTTAAATTGTTCCATTTGTCAATTGAAATACAGCAGTGTAAAATCTAAAACTTTCCCTATTGAAAGCTCAGTGTTAAAATCTCCCCCTGGTGGATTTTAAGAGTATGTGTTCTCATAAATGGAATGGAATAAGGGAATGGGAAAAAATAAGAACCAAGATATATTATGGAAAGGTACAAATTTCCAATGATGAATGTCATTTTATTGTATACCTAAAATGTACCAATAAAATTAATTTAAAAAAATAAATAGAATGGAATAGAACTTTCCAAGAAAATAAATAGACGCTGACATTTTGCAGGATTAAAATCAAGTCTTTTAATTTCTAAATTCAAAGGAAAAAGACAGAAATTATTCAAAATTTTGTATCAAAAAATTTTAACACTAACATAGAATAGTTTTGGTTTACACTAGCCATGTGTGTAGTGTGAATACCTTTAGAATTTTTTCACTACCCTCTAGTGAGTGAAGACATTTTTATGTGCTAATTTCCCAAATCATTTAGTAAATAGAGACATAATGTTTCAATTAGGAAAGAACATGACCTCTCCTTCAATAAACCTGGCACCTGTATTCTGTCATTTTTCTTCCAGCTGTCAGTCAAATCAAGGAAAGCCTGAGTGCAAAGCCCCTAGACCACTTCAAATGTGCACACACTTGCTTTAGGGGAGGAGAATTCTTTTAATTGATTTTTCTTTTTTAGTAGCAATCTCTCTGCCTTTCCTGGGAATACATTTCAGCTGTACTTTTGTGAAGTCAGTACAAAATTTCACAGTAGATCTTGCTCTTTTACCCTCTTGATCCAGTGGCTCTGCTGACCAACTGCTTGGATATACATTTGCCTGAGGGGGGCAAAAGGTAAAGAATGACAAGAACACTGAAGTAGTGAAAGCTCGCCAGAGATACTGATGCAAAAGATGGTGCAAAGGTACCTGAACTGCTGCCCATTCCATGTTCAGAACTGAGAAAAGGTGGTAGGCAATTAGAGAAAAATGTATTTTTGTGGGCATAGATATTCCAGTCTTATATTCTTTAAAATGATATTTTGTTATTGTTATTTTTTTCAGAACACTTTATGCTAAACTTCTAGTTAGGGACTAGTTTGTTACTTTCAACTGATTAGGCAATATAACTAAAGGAGAAAATAGAGGAAATTGTTGGGTACATCGAGGAATGCAAGAAATAAGAAAATGACTTAGATTTGCTATTTATGTAATTTCTTATCATTAAAATAGCTCTTTGAGTGTTCCATGGGAAATATAATCACAGCAGTAAAATAAGGTGGTTAAGAGTACAAACCCCGGCTTAGTTTGCTAGAATCAAACCCAGGCTTTCAGTATTTAAGGTGTGTGACTTGAGTCAATTTTCAACCTCTTTATGTCTTGGTTTCCTTATTTGCAAAGTCGGGGTAGTCAGTAGAAACTTCCTCTACAATCGTGCAGTTGGAAAGGTTAAAGATGCCAAATCTGTGAGTGGAAAGTACAGATCATAGCTTCTGCTGTTCAGTTTCAAATGCCAAAAGTCTCATTTTCAGACATCATTTTTAAAAATCCTTTCTAAATTTAAACTGTAATATCTCAGTCAACTTAAAGTCCTTTTGCCCCTGAATCATGAGGAAGAGGGAAATTGTTGATTTTTTATTATTTCTTATGTTATTTTTTCACTTCTTCCTCACTCCTTCTGCTTTTGGCTCCTGCAGGGGGAGATGCAGAACTATCCCAGATGAGAAAGACTGTCCTTAACCATGTGATGGAATACATTACAACACTTGGCTGCCATCACACCTGCTCCTTGCTGGAGATGGCCCACTGTGTCATTTCCTGGATGTCACAGACTTCCTGCTGAGGTGTCTCAGAGGTGCTCCCACATGTCTACCTATGGTGCTGACTGTTCCATCCTCCACCTATAAGGAATCCACTCTGCTACCCAAGGCAATTCCAGGTCCTTGTTCACCTTTAAATTTTCTGGGCCAGAATCAGGCCCCAGCTTGTGTCTTCTTCAACCCTTAGGGACACTGCCATACTCTCAAAGTGGTTTTATAGAAGCCCCCAAGCTTGACTGACAGTGTGAGCACCCACTTACAACTTGCATGGCAAGGAAAATACATGGCACTCTGGAAGCTCTCCCTAAGGAAACAATTCCTGTGTTCCTTGCTACCCTTACATGTAGACTGGGATGCTGGTAATGGGCTGTAAGAGGCAGCCTAGCATCCGGAGAATATGGATGTATTTTCCAGCTGTGGTTGTTATCAGCTTGAGAGCTTTGGAGCCACATAGGAAATTGAGGCAAAGAGAAATGTTATGTAAAACTCAGCCTGTCCTTGTATAACACTTTTACAATTGCATTATTTGATTCAGTGAGTACAGTGGTTAGAATCCTTAGGATGCCAATAGACCAAACTGAGTTTGGTATGATTTCAGTAGAAGTGTTTAACACTGTAGAATTATGTTAGCTGGAGGTGTGTCATGTACCAAACGTAGTGCATCGTGTTCAAAAACCCACCTATATAGACAGAAGGAAAGTGAAAGGGTAAGAAACACACATAGCATAGATCTATTAAGTTTATAAGCAAAAAAGGAAAAATAGATTTTTTAAATTCTATTGGCTGCTGAAACTCAAGCTCCTAGAAAGGGAAGACCAAGACAAACACAAAGCTCATACAAGGGAAGAAATTATAAAGATCAGAGCAGAAATCAGTGCAATGGAGACTAAGAGAATAATATAAAAAAATCAATGAATTGAAGAGTTGGTTCTTCAAAAGAATAAATAAAATTGACAAACCCTTAGCCAACCTTATCAAAAAAAAGAAGGAAAAGGCTTAAATCCAAGCAATTAGGAATGAAAAGGGTGAAATTACAACAGACCCAGAAGAAATCCAGAGGATTATCAATACCTATTCGAGAACCTATACTCCAATAAGATGGAAAACACAGAAGAAATGGACAGATCCCTAAATACATATGAATTGCCAAAGCTGAACAAAGAAGATATAAAAATTATAAACGCCTCAATTTCAATCAGTGAAATTGAAAGCAATTAAAAATTTACCAACAAAGAAGAGCCTAGGTCCCGATGGCTGAATACTACAAGAAATTTAGGAAAGAGCTAATCCCACTACTTCTCAAACTCTTTAATGAAATTGAAAGTGAAGCAATACTGCAAAATTCATTCCTGGAAGCAAGTATTACTCTGATTCCAAAAGCAGAGAAAGACTCAACCGAAAAAGAGAACTATAGGCCAATCTCACTAATGAACATAGATGCAAAAATCCTCAATAAGATACTGGCAAATAGAATGCAGAAGATCATCAAGAAGATCATACACCCTGACCAAGTGGGATTCATTCCAGGGATGCAGGGATGGTTCAACATACGCAAATCAATAAATGTAATACACTATATTAATAGAGCCCAGGACAAAAACCATATGATCATCTCAATAGATGCAGAAAAAGCGTTCAACAAAATACAACACCCATTCATGATAAAAGCCCTATAGAAAATTGGATTAGATAGTCTTTATCTGAATCTGAGATAAACATCATACTAAACAGTCAAAAGCTGAAATCTTTCATGCTAAAATCAAGAACAAGACAAAGATGTCTACAATCACCACTCTCATTCAATATAGTTGTGGAAACATTAGCCACAGCAATTAGACAAGAGAAAGAAAAATTAAAAAATAGAAAACGAGAAAGAAATAAAAGGAGCAAAGATAGGAGAGGAAGAAGTTAAACTGTCATTATTTGCTGACGACATGATATTCCACATAGAAGACCCTAAAACCTCTGCTAAAAGAATCTAGACTTAATTGACAGATTCAGTATAGTAGCTGGATAACAAGGTCAGCACTAAAAGATCAGTATCCTTCTTGTACACAAATAACAGACTCACTGAGAGAGAAATTAGGGGAACAATTCCCTTCACAATAGCATCCAGAAAATGAAATATCTAGGAATCAATCCAACAAATGAAGTAAAAGACCTCTACCTTGAAAATTACAGCACTCTGAAAAAAGAGATTGAAGAGGATATAAGAAAATGAAAAGACATCCTTTGTTCCTGGGTAGGAAGAACCAATATAGTGAAAATGGACATACTTACAAAACTACTATATAGATTCAATGCAATCACAGTTGAAATCCCAACAGTATATTTCACAGAACTAGAGAAAAAAATCCAAACATTCATTTGGAACCAGAAGAGACCTAGAATAGCAAAAGCAATTCTAGGAAACAAAGACGTGGCAGGGGGTATCACAATCCCCAAGCTGAAACTATACTTCAAACCCATTGTGATAAAAACAGCATGGTACTGGAAAAGAAACAGACCCAAAGATTAGTGGAATAGGTTAGAAGATGCAGACACAACTCCAGATATACTCAGTTACCTCATCTTTGACAAGGGAACCAACCACCCTCATGGAGGAAAGATAGCCTCTTTAATAAACGGTACTGGAGAAAGTGGATTTCAACCTGCCACAAATTAAAACTAGACTCATATCTTTCATCATGCACTAAACTAAAGTCAAAGTGAATCAAAGATCTAAATATTAAAACAGAAACACTAAACTTGCTGGAAGATAGGTTAGATAGAACTCTTGAAGATATTGGCATAGGAAAAGACTTTATGAACAAATCCTCCATAGCATGGGAACTAGCACAGAGAATCAAAAACTAGGAGCTCATCCTATTAAAAAGCTTCTGCACTTCAAGAGAAACCACCAACAGAACTAAGAGACAACCTACAATCTGGGAAAAAAATTTTACTGCTATTCCTCAGACAAAAGACTACTATCTAGAATATATAAAGAACTTAAAAAAATCAGACCCCCAAATTTAAAGATCTAACTCAAAAATGGGGATCTGAAATGAACAGATATTTCTCAGACAAAGAATTAAAAGCAACAAATAAATATATGAAAAAAATATTCAACATCATTGGTCATTTGAGAGATGCAGATGAAAACAACACTGAGATTCCACCTCACTCCAGAAAGAATGGCTGCTATCAAGATATCAACCAAAAACAAATGCTGGCAGGGTTGTGGGGAAAAAGGAACCCTTCTCCATTGTTAGGGGGAGTGTAGACTGGTACAACCACTGTGAAAATCAGTATGGAGATACCTCAAAAAACTAGGATTACAGGTCCCATTTGACCCAGCTATTCCCCTGCTGGATATCTTCCCAAAAGAATTAAAAGAATCATACCACAGTGATATATGCACACCCGTGTTTATAGTGGCACAGTTTGTAATAGCTAAAATTTGGAAACAACCCATTTGCCCATCAACTGGAGACTGGATAAAGAACATGTGATTTTTTTTATAAAATGAAGTACTGCTTAGCCATAAAAAATGAGAAACTAGAGTCATTTATAGCTAAATGGATGCACACTGAGGCCATACTCTTAAGTGAAATAAATAGGACACACACGTGTAAATACCAAATCATTTCTCTGGTGTGAGAAACTGAAAGTATAAATAAGAATCAAAATATATAATAGATAATGGGAAACAGGAAGAAAAGGTCTAAAGGTGAAGAGAAAGTGGGAGGAGTAGGGGAAAAGAAAGAAGGGCAAGAAAAAAATATGAGAAAAGGAAAAAATGGAAACAAAGACTTTGTAAATAGGGAGGGCTGGTGGGGTTGAAGGGAGAGCAGGGAAATGGGGGAAATACAAGACCCAAGATATATCATGTAAGGTACAGATTCCCAATGATGAATGTCATTATATTGTATACCTAAAATGTACCAATAAACTTAATGAAAAAAAATTCTACTGGCTAACTAAAAAATAATGTTACATTGTAATCTATAATCTGTAAATTATTTTATAATAGTTTTAAATACTTTATATAGTGCTTACTACATGCCAGGCAATGTTCTAAACTCTTTACTATGTTTATTCTATTTAACAACCCTATAAAGTAGATGCAATATTATCTTCGTTTTATGAATGAGGAAACTAAAGCACGAAGAGATTAAACACTTGCATAAGGTCAAGTACATGGAAAATATAACCCAGAAGTTTGGTATCAAACTACAGCACTACCCTTTCACAAACATCTTCTTGTTATTTACATTGCTGTGACAATTCCAAGAGGTGGCCTTTGCAGACTCAAGCATACTTAGGGAATACTTGTCCATGGAGACAGGAGCTGCCAGAAGATGATAGACTACTCCTGCCTCGTTTCATTTCCTTCTACCACCTTCTGCAGGGGGCATTTTGTTTTCTTTTTAATTTCCATCATAATATGTAATTTCTAGCATAAATTTTTTAGTGTTTTCTGACACAAAAGGTAAGGAGGAAATAATTCAGCAAATGCTTCATTAGATAGAGTAGACACTAATGGCCTGGAGTCCTTTCTTTTTGTAAAAGTTTTTAAGGTTTTATTGCCCTTATCTTATTTAAAAGACAATGCACACTCTTGGTTGAAAAAATAGAAAATTTCTATGAAAGGGTGAAGACACCACCCAAGGCCTACACACTGATGAGAGCCACCGTTAACATCTTAGTAACTGTCCTCTCAGTCTTATGCATGTGTGTGTTCATTTGTAATATGCGTGTGTGTGTGTTTGTGTGTTTGCATCAACTTTATTTACATAATACTTTGCTTTCTTGCCTGAAGGAAAAGGAAATTTTTATTTTGGAACAGGAATTTTATTTTGGAAAAGGGTGCAGTGGCTGGTGTGGCATCCTCTCTCCATCTTTGCCCACTGTTTGGTTTGCTCAGCTTGCAAGTTATATATCAAGTTTATAAGCTATAAAATAAACTGTATCCTATCATTCTATCTTCATTTTAACTTAGGAAGACAAAGTCCAGTTTAGACTCCTAGTGCTCTTCAAGAGCTCTGCCCTGCAACCTGCCCCCAGCAGTGGTCCATCCCACTGCAATTTCCAGCCTCATCTCCATCTTTTATAGTGAGCATCCTTGTGTGTGTTAGGATAGGTACTCAGCTTCCACAGCCACACCTGAGCCTCAGCTGCTTCAGCTCCCCTAAAGTTACCTCCTGGCCTCTTCTTGGGGCTAGCAGTGTTGGTACCCACCATGTAGCCTGCCCACACTGGCCTTGGACGTGGCTCTGGGGCCGCTGGGTAGGGACATTTTGTGTTTCTAAGAAAGCAGTCTGGAGTCTAGATCTAGCTGGGGGCTCACAGGCTTGGAGCCTTGGCCGGTGGGGAAGGACACTGTTACATGGACACCATGCATTCCCTATAGGAGATGCTGATTAGAATGAATCACTGTTTATTTATACCTAAAGGTGTTCTCTAAATTATGACTTTAACAAGACAAGAAAGGGGGTGGGAAGATGGGGTATAACTGCACAGTGTGCCTGATCCTGGTAGCTGCAGAAACATGGTGGCTTTGATGCATGCTCTTTCCCTTCACATCATTCAGGGCTACTCCACACCTTCTTCTGTTCCTTTTGGGTCTAATCCCTGCCAGATACACCCCTTCTCCAGCACTCTGCAGTCTTTCATCCCTACTGTGCTTCTTAAATGTCTCACTAAAATGTGACCTCAGTCTCTTTGCGTCTCATTCGAATGCCATAGAAAATCCACCTTCTTTGCCTCTGCATCTGAAGTGCCTGAAACAGTGCTTGTCACTCAGTGACATTCAATACATATTTATTAAGTTAATGAATAAATTATTAATTTATGAATAAAGCACACATTATTCATACATAGTGGAATTCAGATAC